ATGTTTAAAATTATATGTAATAACTTAAGTCGATTTTTTTTTTATCTCAAAAATACTCTTTTTTGAAAAAAAGTTAATATTTTATCTTTCATATCTATCTATATCCATATATAGGTTAAGAGTTTGACTAACATTAAAATTTTTCCTCTTATATATATATATATAATAACATTAAAAATAAAAAATAGTAATATTCAAATACAAAAAAAAATTACTATGAATTTGAATAGTAAAATTCAAATTCATGCTACTATTTTTTTATTATGTTACTGCTTTTGTTGAGTATGTTACTGTTCATGTTACTATTATTTTTGAGCATGTTACTGTTTTTGTTGAGCATGTTACTACTATTATTTTTCTAAATATTAATATTCAATGTTACTATTTTTTTTTAATATTGCTATTTTTTGTATTTGAATGGNACTATTTTTTTATTATGTTACTGCTTTTGTTGAATATGTTACTGTTTTTGTTGAGCATGTTACTACTATTATTTTCCTAAATATTAATATTCAATGTTACTATTTTTTTTTAATATTGCTATTTTTTGTATTTGAATGGTACTATTTTTTGGGTTTGAATTTAAGAAAAATAATTATTGTTAAGTATGTTACAATTNTATTGCTATTTTTTGTATTTGAATGATACTATTTTTTGGGTTTGAATTTAAGAAAAATAATTATTGTTAAGTATGTTACAATTTTTATTAAGCATGTTACTATTTTTGTTGAACATGTTATTGTTGTTATTTTTAAAAAATATTAATATTGAATGCTTCAATTTTTTTTTTGTTTAAATGTATTATTTTTTGTGTTCAANTTTTTATTAAGCATGTTACTATTTTTGTTGAACATGTTATTGTTGTTATTTTTAAAAAATATTAATATTGAATGCTTCAATTTTTTTTTTGTTTAAATGTATTATTTTTTGTGTTCAAATGATAATTTTTTTTTGTATTTAAATGNGAAAAATTATAAAGGTAGTTAAACTCTCAACCTATATATGAATATAGATAGATATGAGAGAGAAAAATTTTTACTGTTAGTCAAACTCCTGAGATTTATGAGTTTTTAATTTTTAATTTTATTTCACTTCTAAAAGAAAAAGATAGTATGATAAAATTGACATAAAATAAATTTCATAACAAATAAATTTTTTTGACGGATTTAAGTCCAAACAAGACCATATAGGTACAATTTTTATTTTAGACATTTTTCTTATACATTAATGTATGCACGTTGATATATAAAAAAAGTATTATCTAATATAGTGGTAGTAGTTATTGTCTGTGTCTGAACGTGCAGAACAATAAAAAATAATAAACAATAAACATATTTTTATTCATATCCAAAATCAAATAACAAATATAGATGAGAGATAAATGAATTTAAACATCAGTTATAATAGAGGTAAGAGGTGGTTGGCTACAGTGGTGGTGATAGGAGATAATGATGGTTGTGGTGGGTGACAATGACTGTGGTGGCAATGGTGGTGATTGCGACAATGGGTGTGGGGGTGGCGACGACGACAGCGACAGTGGTGGCGGTGGCGGTTTCAAGCATTTTTTTTTAAAGTACTTATGAGAAAATAATTTCTAAAAGTACTTTTAAAAAGTCATTTCAAACACACTCTTAGATATCTATTTTCCTTATTAAATTTGAGGTGTTAATATTAGTCGTCGTAATAACTTGAAAATAAAATTTAAAGAGATCTCAACCGCTAAAAGTAAAAATTATTTTATTTATCTTTTAAAATTTGAATTGTAAATTATTTTATTATATAAATTAATTTTCAGATACTTAAATTATATGATGTATAGTGTCTTTATACATTAGTTATATGTAGTTATTGACATTTTTAAGTGCAATTGAGTGAGATTTTTGAAGAATATATATACATAAGAAGGGGTGGGGTGACGAAGGTCTAAGTCACGATTTTTATTAGAAAGTTGAAAGTGTAGTGTACAGATTCCACATGAGAATGAGATTGACATTCATGTGTTCAGGAGACGGGAGGAGGCTGGCTGGTGCCTTCTATTATTATTATTATTTTTTTTTTTTTGATAATTGAAATAAAGGTGGGACAACGGAGGATATTCAAAGATTACCTGATAAGTTTTCACAGGTGAAATTATGAGACTTATGATCACGCCTGTTACTCCCGTTGACAACGAACTTAACTAAATTAACATAACAGTCAACTACTGAATTCCAATGTGAATTTTAAGACTCGAATCTTTAATTTCATGGTAAGAAGTTCGTTCAACACCCTATTAGACCACCACATTCGATGGTTGGATGAATTAAGGTCTATTGGAAATGATGAAAATAAGTACATGCATATTCTATTGTTAAAACTAAATTGATGTGTAACATTGGTTCACAAAATAAAGGAAGGGGGTGTTGATTTAAAATGTGGCTTAAAATGTGAGATAAAAATAAGGTAAATTAAAACGAACAAGGTTCGAATTTATCATGGTAGAAAACAAGTTGTTCAATTTTAAAAGTTAAATGCTAAAAATTGTTTAATATATAAGAAATTTAAGTATTAAATTGAATTAAACTGTTTAACCATTATAAAGAACTGAAGTCTGTATGTTATTATATTTCTGATGTTATTTTTCTTCTCTACCACTCCATCGCTACTACTTTATCCCCACTACTCTGCTACCACCACCTCTATCACTTAGCAAATCGACACAATTGCAATTATCAGCATTGCTAACGCGGACACTATTACTTTCGTTTTCATCATAGCATCATCTTCCAAGTTCCCACCACCCTACTATCACTATCCCCACCTACTGTCACTACCACCACCATCTTCATTACAATATGAGTCAAAATAAACTATTGTGGCAGTTTCTCAAATCCATGGTGGTGATGATATTAATGAAAAAATTGGTGTCGTTGACAAATAGGCGGTAGAGAGATGATGGTGGTGAGGTGGAGTGGTGACAACATTGGGGAGAGGGTGTTTGGTGGTTGTGGTGATGGTGGTGATAGGTGCAGCAAAAAGTTAACAGTAGTAATAAATGCAGTGATGTAAGACAATGTTTGGTGGAAAGTGGTGTAGAGATGACAAGGTGGTGGTGGTGGTGGTGGTGGTGCTGACGGTGATTGTGGTGTGGAAATGGTGATGTGTGTGATAGAGGTATGACTTTTGGAGTTACGATGGTCATTTCAGTGGTAGTGTAAAAAATATTCAATAAACATTGATGAATTGACCCTAAAATGTCTCATATACAAATTGCAATCCCTTTTGGGGTGTCATCTTCTTAAATATACTGCCAAATGACTATCCTCGAACTATTTATTTCTTTTATATTCCTACAACTACCTAAAGGAATATCCAATTTTTTTGGCCCATGCTAGTTTAAGAGCATAATAGTGTAGTTACAAACAACCACATTAGATTAACAATTCAAGATATATGACTCCATACTTCCAACATCAAAAGTAGTTGTAGACTTTAGTTAACGGTGTTATCTTTTTTTTTTTTTTTTAATAGAGGGTAGTTAACCAACCTAAAATTTTTCAAAGTTGAAAATAATTTCTACTATTTACGGTATAAAATCTCTTCAAAGTTCAATATATCCGGTCAATGTAAGATACTAGAAAGCGAGAAAATTTAGAAAATATTTTACAATTAGTTTTAAAATTAGTTAAAAACTCTTTTTTTTTTTTCATTTAACACGATAACTCATAGAGCTTGACATAACTATTTACGAAATTTTTTTCCTAATTTCTTGATTCGACCCATATCAATAGAATTAATGCCAAGTCTTGGACCCATATCAATAGAANGTATTATGGGTTCTGTTTGTTTTGGTTTGTTTGTATTGGATCTGGGGACTTATTGGCTTTCGTTTTCTGGGGAAGTGTAGGACATGGTTTATTGTAAATTTTCTTTTGTCTCATTGAGTGTTCTTTTTTGGATTTCAGATTTGCCAGAATTTAGACGTCGCTCTTTATAGAAAATCGAAGACAATGTTGCCTCAGAAGCAAGCAGAGGAAGCTATTGTCTCGAACTTCAATGAGACTGAACATGAAGGGAAGGAGGAAGAGAAGGAAGAAGAACAGTCAGTGNCGTAATTTTAATCCGCCATTAAAGAAATTGGTGTGTAAAGAAGAATTACAAATCAAGGAAGATACCAACTACCATACTCCATAATACATAGCAAAATAATTAATTTCAATCATGAAATGAAATTCCATTCTATATGTTATGATCGAGCCGTTAAGGAGCGTTACTGCTGGCCTATAAAGAATGCTGCTTTGTGTTCTTACTGATGAGAACCAAGTCTCTGTCTCTCAAATCTCTCGATTCTCTCTCTACCAAACGATGACCCAAGAATCGAATCAAAAGTGGAATACAGTGAATTGGGTTTCATCTTAAATAAAGAAGTACAGAGAGAGAGAGAGAGAAGAATTTTCAAACCCAAACAAAGCTAAAGTTCACATATATATAATACAGTAGTTGTTTATATATGTGTGTAGTTGAATAGTAGCAGAAAGGCTTCCTTTCTTCTTTACTCTGTAGGAGTCATTGCTCTGAATATTAATCCATAGAAAACTCTCTCTGTGCTTTGCTGCTTTTTAGGTCCCTCGCCGCCTTTGTTTTCGGCTCTGCGCCTTTCCTCTGCAGAAAATTGGGGAAGATCAAGCGCATTTAAGCAGCTAGTTGTTGTTTCAGAGATTTTCTAGCTGCTGCTTTTTGCCCATTATATCTGGAGAGCATTAAAGTCTCTGCATCTTTCTCTGTTTTTCTTTCTTTAGCCGTGTCCAATCTTGGAATGAACAATTCTTAAACTCTGCTTCAATTGTGAAACTCAAAGTCGTTTTAGTCCTTTAAGTATACATACCATTTTCTTGTACTCACTTTGTTTCTGGAGACAAAAGGTCTTAAATCAAACGCTTAGCAGAGAGTCAAAGGAGTGTTTTCTGAGATCTGGGTTGAAGAAAAAGACGCCTCAAAGAAGGTATTAGAAAGTAAAGAAAATGGGTGTTTTTTTGTATTATGGGTTCTGTTTGTTTTGGTTTGTTTGTATTGGATCTGGGGACTTATTGGCTTTCGTTTTCTGGGGAAGTGTAGGACATGGTTTATTGTAAATTTTCTTTTGTCTCATTGAGTGTTCTTTTTTGGATTTCAGATTTGCCAGAATTTAGACGTCGCTCTTTATAGAAAATCGAAGACAATGTTGCCTCAGAAGCAAGCAGAGGAAGCTATTGTCTCGAACTTCAATGAGACTGAACATGAAGGGAAGGAGGAAGAGAAGGAAGAAGAACAGTCAGTGTTCAGTGTCAAGAGCCTCCTCTGGCATGGAGGCTCTGTTTGGGACGCTTGGTTTAGCTGTGCTTCAAATCAAGTATGTATATACACACAAAAACCTCTCATTTTTCACATATTTTGAAGCACATATAGATAAGTTTTGGTCATGTAATTCATTGCAGGTAGCCCAAGTGCTTTTGACACTGCCATACTCTTTCTCTCAGCTGGGAATGTTATCAGGCATATTGCTCCAAGTATTCTATGGTTTTCTTGGAAGCTGGACTGCTTACCTTATAAGTGTTCTCTATATTGAGTACAGAAGCAGAAAAGAGAAGGAGAATGTTAACTTCAAGAACCATGTTATCCAGGTTGTTTTTTTTTTCTCTCTATCACCACCACTGATTCACTAGCCTCAAAACCTTAATGAATGGTTCTAAACAAACCCATTTGGATTGTTCTTGAACTGCAGTGGTTTGAAGTGCTTGATGGGCTATTGGGTCCTTACTGGAAAGCGGTGGGTCTAGCTTTCAACTGTACTTTCCTTCTCTTCGGATCTGTGATACAACTAATAGCTTGTGCAAGGTAATAAAACTTGCTTGATTTTTCAGATTTAGTGTGGGTTAATATCAAATGGGTTTTACTTAATTTTGATTGTTTTGTTGCTTGTTGATGACAGTAATATATACTACATTAATGATCGGCTGGATAAGAGGACATGGACATATATATTTGGAGCTTGCTGTGCAACTACTGTGTTCATACCCTCCTTCCACAACTACCGGATTTGGTCTTTTCTAGGCCTTGGAATGACAACGTACACAGCCTGGTACATGACCGTAGCAGCTCTGGTTCATGGCCAGGTAAGCAAATTTGTTTCAAAATTTCTGTAAATGGAAACCTTACTCTGAACTTTAAAGTGCTATATAAATATGGGAATTAAAGCTAGTGTGTGTTGGTTGTAATTGTATTGTAGGTTGAGGGGGTGGAACACTCGGCTCCTACAAAGGCAGTACTGTATTTCACCGGCGCCACCAATATTCTGTACACCTTTGGTGGACATGCTGTTACAGTGTAAGCCTTTTTTTTTTTGTTTTTCCTGTTTTCTAATGAACAAATGTCCACACATAGAACCGTACTTGAGTCTGTTTTTTTTGATAATTTAGAAGTTTTAGGTTTAATCATCTTTCATAGGTAGGACTAATCATCCTTGTCTTTTTTGGAACATGTTCTAGACCAATTCAAACTACAGTATCCAATCTTTTGAATTCAATTGAATAATTGGTACAAATTTAGACACACCGTAGCCAAAAAAAAAAAAACAGCCCACTCATAGTTTTGTCTTCTTCTCTCTACACCGTTTCTGTTTGCAGCTTTTGCCGGTGGCCTTGGGTGTTGAGACCACAGACAGAATCATGGAAACTACTTTTTTTTTGTTTGCTAGGGCAAAAAAACAGTAATCGCCCCCCCCCCCCCCCCCAAAAAAAAAAAAAATCCCAAAATCCTCTATTCCTCTTTAACACAGAGTAGTGAAGTAGGCCTTCATAAAAATGGGTTTACTATCTGTCTCTTGTTTTCCTAGTTTACTCTAATGTTGATCTATTCTTCATTTTTTTCCCCTCTAGGATTGTGTGGCTGTCATATTTTCATCTGTCATTCCCAGAAACATTACAATGTGTGAACATGATGAAAAAAAAATACCATCCTTTATTGGGTATTATTGGTATTTACCTTTTTTTAGAATAGACTAGACATGTTGATGTCTATTAAAATCGGGTTTTTTTTTCGGTTTCCTTAAAATCCGAAGGCAAATAGAACTGTTCTATTTAGTTGCCTTCGGATTAATAATGCTACTTTGGTTCCCAAGTCTGATAATTAATGGTTAATGTTTTGAAGGGAAATTATGCACGCGATGTGGAAACCTCAAAAGTTCAAGTACATATATCTATTTGCAACTCTCTATGTTTTCACACTAACACTTCCATCGGCGTCTGCTGTCTACTGGGCGTTCGGCGACCAGCTTCTCAACCACTCCAACGCCTTCTCCCTCCTGCCTAGGAACGGCTGGCGCGATGCTGCCGTTATCCTCATGCTCATTCACCAGGTCTATTAGAATGAATCATTTGGCATAAAGTAACATTATTTGCTCCTGTTAAACAAATGTTTTTTTTTTTTTTTTGTTTTTTACAAATTACTAACCTTAGATTGTGTGGTTATGGTGATTATTATTTACAGTTTATAACATTTGGGTTCGCATGTACACCATTGTACTTTGTGTGGGAGAAGGTGATAGGCATGCATGACACAAAGAGTATATGCTTAAGGGCATTGGCCAGACTGCCAGTGGTGATACCAATATGGTTCTTGGCTATAATCTTCCCATTCTTTGGGCCCATTAACTCTGCTGTTGGGGCTCTTTTGGTCAGCTTCACCGTCTACATCATCCCAGCTCTAGCTCATATGCTTACCTACAGAAAAGCCTCTGCCCGACAGGTATCTCTCTCTCTCTACATTATACTACATGGATTAGACCATGGTATCTAAAATTATTATGTAAAGTTATTTTCACGCAAGCAATTGCAAATCTCAACCTCAAGGTAGTTCATGGACGAACTGTAAATTTAATTGTTTTGAGTTCGAATTTTGGTAACATCTTACGATCAGACCATGAGAGATTTTATCTCTTATGAATACCCTTGTTCCGGATGACCTATTTTTGACTAGACCGAAAAAGGGGATTGATTGAGGTGCGCATAAGCTGAATTGGACACCCCTGACTATTGACCCCAAAATTTTTTTTTACAAATCTCCATCTTTTGACATGACCTTCAATTTAATTTCGAATAATGACCATGTATACGTTATTTCACTTACCACGTTGAATAAGGGCAAACTTTTAATTTTTTTAATATATGAGGGGTATTCTGGTCATCAGCATTAAGTGGGTAACCCGGTTTTGATGGAGTTTCCCATGCTTAGTGTTGGTGGTGGAGTTGCTACATCTGCTAGTTGGTTTTTTTTTTGGTTTTTTTGAAGGGTGGGGGGAGGGGGGTGTACAACGGTACAATGACATTAGTAAAGGCTTGGATTTGAAAATATGCTAGGATGAGAGGAGATAGGTGGCTGGTCCTTTTCATTTAGTTATATTCTACAGTATCAGTGGTGTATTATGTCTGATGAGCTGTCTTCTTGTTGACTCCGCCCTATTTCCCATTAAATTTTATTACACAAAGAGATCTTGTTGACTCAGTTCTCAACTCAGTCCCATCCTTACCACTTCTTACCAAACTATGAGTAGTGTCAGGAGTTTCTTGTATTGAACTACTTTTTCTTTTATTTTTCTACTAACATTGTTTAAATTTTTGTACAATTGCAGAATGCAGCAGAGAAGCCGCCTCTCTTCATGCCCAGCTGGATCGCCATGTATGCATTAAACATATTCGTGGTGTGTTGGGTTTTTGTGGTTGGTTTCGGGTTCGGAGGATGGGCTAGCGTGACCAACTTTGTGAAACAAGTTGACACATTTGGCCTCTTTGCCAAGTGCTACCAATGCAAACCTCCAACACCAACACATCTGCCTGCAACTCCTCCAGGTCATTGAGTTCACCCGCTACCGGTTAACTGAGTTCACTCGAGACTCACCAAACCTCTCCATATATTGTATTATACGTGGGGAGGTAGCAATATTTCCCCTACATGTGATGTGTGTTGGATTTCTTTTTCTTTTTTACATCTCTCCATTTTTTGTTTCTTAATCTACTAGATAAGATAGTGTGTTGAATTGTGATGATTCCCTTGGTATCATAGCATAGTCTAATCAAATCTATGTGTCGAGGGATTAATTTTTCATCAATTTTGTTGAAATATTATAAATTTGTAAAATTGGTTTTAACGGTCGACTAAAATACGCAATTCAAATCCGTATACTCTAAATTCGAGATCTTTTAGCCATTTTAAACACAGGTTTTATGAATATACATGACTTGCACTGATTATATATGTATTTAGGTATAGATTAAAAAACACATTGTTGAAGCATCCTTGTGAAATAAAGAAGGAAATAGAAAATTATATGATTGTTCTTTTGGTATAGCTTCCAATGTCATTATGAGTCAGCATGTGTCCAAAGTGTACAGTTACACAGAAATGCAATGGCATCATGGGTCTATTCAGTCATTTAATGAGACGTGGGCTTTGTTCTTAAAGGTGGATGTGGACATTTCCAAAAGACCATTTTGACCTAGATTCCCTTTTGAAGTGGTGGGCCGTGGACCCAACCCATCCACATGGGTTGCATGTTTGTCCATCCCCTTTGTCACGTGCCACTCTTTCCTCCTACATATCCTCCCATTAATGTCACATGGTTATGAACAAGCATGAACCTCCCATTGTTTGGTGCTTAATCAATCTTGATGCTCACAACCCAGATCTCAAACTTACCCACTCTTTCTAAATGACAATTTTTTTTTATTATGAGGGTATTAACTACTCTAAAAGGAAATATAAATAGAGAGCTGTGCATACGTGGATCCAAATATTATATAATATAAGTTAGGCTCATTTAAATTTTTAGCGAGTAAAACACTCATTGCTGCTTGCTTGGAAAGAAGAATAGATTGATTCACTTAGTCGGGAAGGCGGAAATAATAGAAATATAAAATAATATAATTTCCTCTGAAAGAAAGCGCATAACGAATATCTCATACCTACTTGAGAAAGAGTATTTGATATTACATATCGAAGACACTTGCCCTTGACCTGTCCTATCTTAAACAATGATATCATCAAAAAAGCAGAGTCAGAGCAAGAAATTTTTTAGTGGCCAAAAATTTGTTTCATTGGGGACTTATAAATGTTACTTCCAATTCCAAAATGACAGTATTAGAAAACGAGTATCCAAGGTTTTGGTACTGACTTAAACTATGATATATGAAGACTAATAAAATTACACAATCATATAAAGTTTGTTACATTCAAAAGCATTCACCTGCATGTGCAAATCTCATGTTTAAAGGAGTTATATTATACTAATGTGTAGATCTAATAAATCTATTGTCCGTACACCTTTGGGTTTTGTGTTGTTTAACATTGTAGCAATAAGGAAAATATCTGATTATGAGCTTGACGCGGGTAATTTTAGCTTTTATCAATACACAATAGCAATTCAAGAGAGGACACAGTAGTAGAGGTTTTAATCGAGTCAGACGAGTTATGATGGTATCAGTTCTTATTTGTTTCTGTTATTAGTCAATATTAGTTTGATAAATTTAATTAATAATGTTCACTTGCACTGATTCGGAGAGATATTGAGACGAACCCAAGCTCAAGTTCGGTCTTATACAAGTTGATGGACGAGTTAAAAAATCCGCTGAAACGAAAATCCAACTAGTTCCAAGTAATCCGAATGTGCTGTACCTCCCAGAACATGACAGTGGATTAGACCCAAAGAAAAAAAAATGGCCCGAGTGTTTTTGTTTGGAGTATGGTTCCAGGTATTGGGTCCAGTTTGGTACAATTAGAATTTCATTTCATTTCATAGAAGGCCAGCCCGGTGGACCCAACATATTGGATAGAAAAACAATGGTGCTGATATTCATTCGTGGGCTTGGATCCTAGGTGAGACCTGTTGAGATGAAATGGGCTGGCTGATACCACCAGCTTCACTCCTCTGCAATTGCATTGGGCCCTCAATTAGAGGCTTCCTCTGCAATAGCATTTTGGCGAGTTTTAAATTGATTCTAAAATATTAAAAATCGATAATAGCATAGTATATGCTAACATTGAATTAAAGTCCAACGGTTGACGGGTATGACAGTGTAACACGGAAAAGCCCATAATTTACTTTATATATCTATGTTTCTTGTCTTCTTCCTCTTCTTATTATATAAGTTTGTATTTCAAAAATTATGCAGTCAATTAAGAGCATATTGTTTGATCAATAGAGTAGATTAAGGGAATTAAATGCATTGGATACATGCTTGCTGATTTTGGGGTTTTTTCTGTTTGTTCTAATACACGCTAGGCATGTTATTTTCACAATTATTGTGGTTTTTAGCCCATTTATTGTTATTTATATTTATTATTATCGTTTTTAGCCTATTTATTGTTATTTATATTTATTTTTTATTTTTTTATTATATAATCAGTCCGACCAATGACCTAACTGTTGAACTAGTGATCTATTGGCTCGATCCCCTTCCCGGGTTGATGTTGGAGCCGCGTTTTAAAACTATGCTTTTGTCAATAGATCTAGGCGCAACTTTTTGGAGTTATTAAGAGCACATGTTGTATACTTTTTTATAAGTAGGTCCAATAATCCCTTTACTTTTTTTTTTTATTTCTTATTTTGACCTTATCATACATATATTTTCAAGACTCCTCTTACCTCCTTTAAGTTATTCGTCTAACTATTTCTCTCTCCTCTATCTTCTTTAATTTATCTTTTCTCTATCTTTCATTCCACCATTTCTCTCTCCTTTCTCTTTCGTCTTTTTAATTTCTCCCTCATATCTATACACTATACCTTTAATTTCTCTCTCTAACTTTAACTCTAACGTTGTTATCAAATATATCATTTATGGGAGACTTTTTATAAGGGTATCCCTTACTTTATTCCTTCTTAAAGTCAGGAATGGCGAGATGACCGTCTTACTAGAAGGGCATCCCTTATTCCATTCCTTTCTAACATCAGGAATGGTTGGATGAAACTCCTTTCTTGTTAGAGTGAGTGTCCCATCTAAATGGGTCACTTCACTCACTTAAAAGATAGTTAACAAAATAAGAGTAAAGATATAACATGATAGATTGATTGGGGTATTCAATCTCTACCTCTAGCATTCCCCCCACGCTTTGTGGGCTGTGGGGGAGAGTGGTACGAGTACGTTTTTAAATACCCGCTTGGATAGAAAAGTTGATCAATTATTGAGTTAGATATCTCAATACGAAACTTATTATCAGTTAGAGTGAGTGACTCATTTAGATGGATCACTTCACTCACTTTCAGTATGTTAACTTATCTCTAAGTTCAAGGATTGAACTTTTGCTTAACACAAATATATCATTTATTTAGATTCTCCTATCTTTTATATTCTATATCGGTCTTTATCTCTCCCATCTCTTCCTATATCTCTTATCCTTTATTTAAAAATTTGTCTCTCTTTATGTTATCTTTTTTATTCAACTATTTATCTATTCTCTCACTTCTTTCTATTTTCTTTATTTTATTTGTTTTTTCCACAATGTATTGTTGAGAGATTGTGTCGATCGTTGCCTTAAAAAAATATCCATAATTGTTATAAATCTGAAGGATTCATGGTAGTGATGTTCTTTGTGCAGCTTATGTTGGCAATATTTGTTGAATTCATCGATAATGATCATGTGAGCTCATTTTTCTCTCCAAATTAGGATACTCTCTTTCTCGATCTCTCTCTCCTCCTCTTATATGTAGACATACATAATTTCATCGTAGGTGTGTCAAAGTGACAACCACGTTGTCATATTATCAAAATTTTATCTTAATTTTTTTTTTCATTTTTTTATATTTGTTCTTCTTGTGGGATAGTCGTTGGAGTAACTGTTATCATCCTAATAGTAATAAGTGACGTCACTATCCCGGGTAGTAACAGTAGAGTATTATATATATATATATATATATATNTATTAAGGTATAAACACAGACTGCCTGTAAACTGCACCCCTAAATTCAGCTCCTGCTCCTTTGCTCACAGCTCCACTCACAGTAGCACTCTGTCAGAAAAGCAGACAGCAACTAAAACAAAGCAATCCACCAACAAGTAACAAAAACCCAGACCAATGCAGTCCAATTTGCATACTCCAGCTCCCTCATTAGTAACATATGAGGGCAGAACTGCAAGAACCAACTTAGTCCAATACAAAAGAGAAACAGAAAACAGTACAGTCCAGAACATTCATTTCCCTACACCCTAACCCTCTCAGAAACACACCACCATCAACCAGCACCACTCCTTCTATCAAACAGAACAATCTTCTTTAATCTAGCAGTAGGCAACCTGCTTTTATCCCTCTGTAATAACAACCTCCCAACAGCAGGCAAGCAGTCCCCTTCAGAAAACTCATGACAACTACCAGTATGTACAACAAAGGAAGTCAGATAGTCAGCAACTGCATTGGATTCCCTATACACATGCTTGAACTGGAATTGCATAACACCAAGCAACTTGAACTGCAACAGACTGTACCATACTGTACAAACTAAGACATTGCACACCATCCCAGCTCACAACACAACTCCTAAATCTGCAAAAAAAGTAAATTGGCTTTAATCATTCAAGAGGACCAAAACCAATTTTGATTAAATTTCTGCATCTTCTAGACTTCTCAGTTCAGCTCCTAGCTCTTAAAACAACCTCCATTGATAATACCAGATCACCATTGATACATAAAACCCTCCCTGATCAGCCTGACCAATGCAAACCCTCGAGCAATCTCCATATCTTTTCCAATACACTTTATAATATATCATACAACAAAATATAAAGTCCAAAAATTCCTTAAACCAAAACATCCACTAATTTATCAAAGAACACAAAATGCAACATGGATCATGGTGTGCAAGTACACAAATCCAAGTAATGCATTGATAGACAAAAGAAAAGGTGAAAAGAATAAATGTAGGGATGAGTAAAAATAAATCATCATCCTAATATGAGCATCATTTAGTACAACAAAATTTAATACGAAAATATTATGTAGGGGTGAGTAAGAGGTAAATATTATTTAATACATAGTTGGCCACAAAAGCAATATGAAATAATATTATTAAATAATATGAAATAATATTATTTAATTATTATTATTATTATTTTTACATTGCCCAATTGATTATGTGATTAGTGTCATATTTCTCTAATCATTACCATCCGTTACACATTTAGAAAAAAATTTATTTTATTTTATCCCCTAATAACTCTTTAATTTATGTTAGGCTATTATCTTCAGAAGGAGGATTGATATCCATTAAACTATAGCAATATTTTGAATGATATAGCATGAGGAGAAAAAATCAAGAAGTTGAATAGATTCTAGTTCTTAGAAGGATAGCTTTTAACAAAATTTTCATAAGGGTTTTGCTAATATAAATATTCTTTTGCTATTATCATTACCCATTATTCATGCTGGTTTGTTTTTTTGTTCGCCTGACTTGGAAGCATGAATCACACATAAGCAAATGTGTACAGAGAGTTTGTATTCTACATAAAATGGCTAAGGTCACTCAAGAGTGGTTTATATTGTAAAAGAGTCTCTCCACTCATTTCCAAATGATTTTGTGTTGGTTGTTCTACCGTTCGTAGCAATTCTAAAAGCAAATTTTCATATCATATTCTTTCTGCTGTTTCTCTCTTGGGCTGGTATTCATTCGTGGGCTTGGACCCTAGATGAGACCTGTTGAGATGAAATGGGCTGGCTGATATCACGAGCTTCACTCCTCTGCAATAGCATTAGGCTCTCAATGAGACCCACAACTTTTCTTGTTGCACGGCGTACATCCGCAACTAGGATTGGACTTGGTATGGAAAGAGGTTCGACGTTGTAGTTTATTATCTTTTGGTTCAAAGTATAAAATTATTTGGAGATAAGTTGTAATTTAGAAAAAAAATAAAAAGAGAGGATTTATTCTTAAAAAATATAATTTTTAGGGTCAACTTATACCGTTTTGAAGTTAGTTACAATCTTTTGGCGAATTTTAAATTGATCCTAAAATATTAAAAATTGATAATAGCAAAGTATATGCTAACCCCGTCAAGATTTTGCATTAGAGTCCACAGTAGACAGGAATGACAGTGTAAACACGGAAAAACCCATAATTAGCTTTATATATCTATTGTTTTTTCTACTTCCCCTTCTTGTACAGTATAACTAATAATTTTTTACAGGGTATATAACTTATTTTGGAATTCATGGATAGAAAAATTAGTGAAATTAGAAATAAGTATAATATGAGGAACTCATTTGTTCAGTGTTTTAAAAATTGACTTGGCCCAACGGGTTGATCAGGTGAATTGGAGCCTAAACAGACCAGTTCCTCTAATAGATTGTTTGAACATTCAAACCAAAAGAAACTCGATGAACCGGGCAGCTCACTAGTAAATCATTCAACCCGATTGGTTTTGACCAAACTGGTCAGATCAATTAAAATGTATAAAATTGGAGTTTTGGCCCTTTTGGGCATTTGTCCATCCCAGATCCCACTGCTTTGTCTCTTGCGACGACGATGACTTGCCCGATTCCTCACTTCTCTGTCTCTCTCTCTCTCTCTCTCTCTCTCTCTTAGTGCGCTGCAATTCAATTGAAGCGAAACTCAAAATCTTGAACATTAGAAGTCGAAGGTTGGATGGACTCGTCACTAAAACCTCCACCGACGATTTGCTTCACCCCTATTCTCTGCGATTGCCATCACCTCAAGTGAGACATAGTAGCACACAACAATAGCTCTCTCTCCCC